TCATAACTCTGTTACTGTCTTCATTTCCTCTCTTTAGAGGCCAGGGATGGATGTTACCCATGATTACTATCAGAAGTCTGGTTTTCAATATGCCCCAAACGGAGATAGAATAATGTTATTTTAAACAAAACATACAAAAGTTAACTTTAAAAGAAAAAAACTAATATGGCTATTGGAATTTCTTGTGTCATGCAGAATGGGATGCCCTTGCAACAGTTGCCCAGCCCTTGTCACCTTGCATCCGGACTACTGCAATTCACACCATATGGGTCTCTCCTTGAAGACCACTCAGAAGCGACAGCTGATGCAAAATGCAGCTACTTGCCTGCTAATTGGTAAAAGTAGATACAGAGATGTTTACACATTGTTGGAGAAGCTGCACTGGTTATCAATTGGTTTCCTGGTTCAAGGTGCTGATCATGACCTCTAAAGCCCCATGTGCCTTGGATCCTAGGTATTCCACGTACCTGTAGAATTGGCCTGCCTGATACCAACTAGCAGAACAGCAGGAGGTGGGAGACTGGCATCATGCCTTCCCTGTTATAATTCCCTCCCTTTGGAACAGTTTGCCCCCGAAGTTAGAATGGACCCCTCCCTGTTAAGATTCAGGAAGGTGAATAAAATACTTTTTCACAGAGACTTCAAGAAATGAATATTCAGTTATATTCTGTGCAGTGATTGTTACCTGGTAGCTTATATTAGAGTGCTAATCTTACAGTTTCTTACTGATATAGATAACTTCTTTATTCTGATATAATTGCTGTTTTATTGTGTTAGATTGTAAACTGCCTGGAGTCTAGGCCTTAAATGGCATACACATCTGAGCATAAAAGTAAATAAAAGACGCCTCAAGGGTGTCCACAGGATATGGTCCAAAAAGTCAAGATTTGGGGGGGGGGTCTTTTCTTTTTTTCCATGATTACACCAGTATGAATCGGTGTAGGGCAGCAACTACTAAGTCGTAGGCATGCAGAACAATAATTGCAACTCAAGATGTAGCAAAGGGCAGCACCATGGTGCCTCTGAAATAAAAGCCTCCAGGGTAAATTCTACCACATGACAAAATGTGCAGACTAACTCTTCTTGCATGCTGAGCCAATCCAGGTTTGTTCAGAAATAATATCTGATAAACTGCACCCATGCTTAGAAGTTCAGGATTTCAGTCTTAGCTTTGGATTGTGATGTGGGCTTCCTAGGCTGCCAACCCCATGTTTACTATCTTCCTACTGATTGTATTACAAAGACCAGTTGTGGCTCAGGAGTGGAATCCAACGTGCTCAGCATGCAAAAGATCCAACTTTTAATCCCAGGTGTCTCCAGTGGAGAAAGGATCAGGAAGCAAGTCTAAAGAAAGGCTGACTGGAGCCCAGAGAGCTGCTGCCAGCTACGGCAGACATTACTGACTAGTAAAGAAACCTGACCTGAAATAAAGCAACTTCTTCCAGAAGAAATACTTGAAGCTTTGCATAGTGCCTCTCTGAGGTTAATCCAATGCTAAGTTTTTATCTTAGTTTGTTTTTTCTCCCTAAGTTTACGGGATGTACAGTGCAGCAGTTATCTGTTTTAAACCTAAGGAATATAACAGCCATCTTACTGGCTCTCTCCAATAAGATGGAGATGGCCTTCTGCCCTATCAGTTTTTAATAATATAGAGGGACAGCAACCCCAAAATAAATCATCCTGTTAATACCGTTCATTATTTTGGATTAGGTTTGAAAACAAGAATGTCTCTGTACACCAGTGCCAACCCATCTGTTGAGAAGGAGCAGCAAAGTGGAACTGGTTGGAGCAACAAACATAGTTTGGGGTCAATCCCAAGGCTTTAAGAGGAGTATAATAATACTCAGAACTGTCTTCTTAGAATGCCAGCCTTTGAGAGGTGAATATATACTTACTATAAAAGATGGAAGATCCACTGAAATGAACAAGGTTTCCAAATAAAAGAATTTAGGAGCAGATATTAAATGTAGAACATATGTGGAAAGATATGTCTATATCTCCCACAAAGATACTGAAAACTGCAAGCTTGTGCAAAGGTTCCTTGAAGTCAGTGGGTTTAAGTCTAATTGAAACTGACCTCACCTGTACAGAATTCCCTACAGCTGGTATCACTTAAGTCAAGGCCTCAGCTGACAGTGTTTGTTCAGTGTTTGCATGCCAACAGGGTGCCCACTTGAGCATAGATCTCTGCCCTACTAAGGATGAATGCTTAAGTAAGCTGACCCAGTTTACAGGGTAATCCTATGCATTTATCTATTCAGTAGCAAGTTTTACCTCCATCTAGCAAGATGTAGTCCAGGTATGTGTTCCAGCTTGCAACCTTACCTATGCATTGCCTGCATGAAATGCTCCATGGAAACATTTTCTCTCCATATCCAACCACCTTTGCACCTAAATAACCATGCAGGTTGTTTCATTCACTCTCTGAACAGCTGCCACCCACCTCCCCTGACAGGGAGTTCCAAAACTCACTGCATGCTATAAAATGAGTCTACATGTTCTACAAACCTTTTGCATTGAGTAGCCTCTCCAGTCCTTTCATTCTTTGCTTCTGTCCATTCCATCGGCATGTTTGGTGGACAATGGCATCTTTGACACTACCCTATAGCTATATATTTTTGTACATAGTTAATTTTAGGAGTTTTAACTATGGTTCTAAATTGGGGAGCAGATATTCACCTCTATGTTCTGCTAGGAAACATGAATTTGTACACCTTCCTCACTGAAGAAGTAGATTAGGATTTGGGATGTGAAAGGCAAACCCCAACATTTAATCTCTGAGCCCTGTTGTATCATCAATATGTAGGAAATAATCTTCAGTGTTTAAATCTACACACATTTGCCTGACAGGGGCACCTTATGGATTCAGCAGGACTTATTTTTGAGAAAAGATGCTTAGGATTATGCAGTTCTTGAGATCTCCCACTCATCACGCAAGAGAGAAATTGGAATAAAAATCAAATATACATCTTAGCTAATCAAGGTTTTCATATAAGTAGCCAAAAAAGCCAAATTAAACTACACCTGTATGTGGGTAGAGAACTCTTACAGAAGTTGTCCCTGCATTTACTCTAAGAGAATTTGCCTCAGGATTAAAAAAAAGATATACACATATTCATCTCTTTTTTTAAAATGATGTCACCCATGAACTCCAATAAACCCCAATATTATATGTTACTAATGCTTTGTCCTTGTAATTTCAAGCCATCAGCACTGTTTATATCTTTATCTCCCATCTTCTCTTTAGTCATCTATCATATCTATGGACAATTTTATATTTGTATTTTCCTGTGGTTAATATACAAATACTGCATTTTCTATAGTCTGTTACTCCTCTGTGAACTGCCCAGATCGCACTGGAACATTTTATATCAAATAATAGGAGGAGCTGGAAATTACACTTGGGGAGGGATCATAATCTGGCCCTTTTCAGGAACTACATCAGTCAGTGAGGACCAATGGTGAAGCATTTTCCATTTTTTTCCACACATTCTTGTCAGATTTTCCTGGCTTTTGACTCCAGCCTCATCACTCCCATCCCATCCAATTGTTGAGAACTGGAGAGCAGCAACAGCTAAAGATTGAGAAAGGTGACTTTCCAGTAAGCATCTGATGTAGTAATTGGGAGGGAAATAACATTATTACATTGTTATATTATGCGGTGAGATGGGCAGTGACAAATTTGCAATATAAATAAATAATCTGAATATTTTAACCTCCCCATTAAGTGAAATATTTAAACCCATCCACAGCCCTATTTAGAAATGCAATGAAAAATGTAAGGGTGAGCAAATTGTTCATCTTTACACAGTGGTTTACAAATGCTTATTTCCGCCCTCTGAACGGAGATCTCAAATATAAGCCACGCAAAGGATCCCCAAACTAGACAGCCAAGTAAGTGGAAGCCGCCTTGTTCTGTTGTGTTAGAAGACATGCACAATGGAGTTCAAACTACAAGAAGTATGTTCTGAATAACAGATTGGGATTCCCTCAGTCACTAGGGTCTGCCACGTAATTCTGGACAAATAGTTGAGTCCTATCCAAACCAGTAGTGGTTCCTCCCAGGTCTGCCACATCAGATTAATGTCTGAGGTGGATCTGAAGTCTGAAGGATCAGCAACAATAACTGCCATTGAACAGGGCACAGCTCACGGGAGTTAAACTGCCCTCCCCGTCTGATAGAAATTGAGAATCTAAGCAGGTGCATTCTAGGGGTAGTCAGCACTTTAGCGCTGAAGATGCTTCCTCTACTAAAAGTAACAGTTTTACTTTGAGGAATTCGATCCTCCGTGAACGGAAGAGGAAAGGACTTTCGGTTGGGGGCAGGGTAGGTTAGAAACAGAGAAATCAGAAAAGGAGTTTTTAAAAAAACTTTTCCAACTGAAAATCTTTCAATAAAAATAGCAATGTACTTCATAACTGCTTGAAACCCATTTTCTGTGCCGCCGCCACCACCGCCACCATCAATGGAAGCCCAAAGGTTCAGGTCCACCGCCCATTTCTCTTGACACCATTAAATGAATCGGCGGCGCCAGGAGAAAGAGACCCCGGTTTGCCACCGCTACCCTTGGAAACCAGCGCCGCAAAGGAGTCCCGGGTCATCTCCCCGCCCGGGCCGCTGGCAAAGTTCCCTACGTCACTCTTTGCAAGAAGAGTGGTTCCGGCGAAATTGACGGAGGATTATAGCTGGACTTAGTCAATTTGTGAAAATGACTAAATCCCATTTAGAAAAGACCCGTGGAAATCAACGGGTCGTATGTTAGGCACGAGGGATTTCTGTTTGGCTAGTTTAATAGATCGACTCTAAATTTGCTGTCGATCTGGGTCCCACCCTAATAAAGGCTGCCTGATCTTGGTCGGGGAAAAGAGGGCAGACCCGAATCCAGGCACCCTTCCGATACACCCGCACACAACGGCTCGGAGAAAAAGTTAGCAAACACGCCCTCTGTAATGCAGAGCCCAGCAGCTTCGGGAGAGCCGGCAGCGCATTGCTCCCTTACCTGCGCAGCCCGATCTGGATGGAAGCAAGTGTTCAGGAGTACACAGTGTCTTTCTGGACGGCGATCAAGGGGGAACCTCCCGGACTCCTGAAATCCTCCCTTTCAGCAAAGGCGTCGCGCGGTGGAGGGGAGCTGCCGACAGAGGACGGAGTTTCATGCCTCCGGAAAGCTGGGCTCCATCCTCCGATCGTCGCCCGGAGAGCAGTGGGAGAACCGGGCAGGCAGCTCCGCGCCAGGCGCGCTTCCCTCCTTCTGAAGAAGCCGGGCGGGCGCCGAGCTTCAGAAGGAGCAGAGGCTGGGCAGCGGGCGGGGGAAGGGGGAAGCTCTACTCGCGCGCCCCCTGGAGGACCCAGGCAATTACAACGCACCCGCCCCCCCGCTCCTTTCCCTCCCCGCCCTGAATTTTTTACTTTTCCGTTCTCGGAGAGCCCGCGAGTTGAGCGGTCTCCCTGGGGCCATTTCACTGCAGAATAGATGCCTGCTGGCTTAAGTTGTTTCGGCCAGGCGTTAAAATATTCAGTGTACTGCAGCAGAAAGCTGGCCAAACGAGCAAACAAACAAGAAAACGTGGCCTTTAGGGATTAGGAACTAAGTACAGCTTGAGTTGGGCAGGAGATTCTTCCCACACTCCCTCATTACTGTATTGCTATTTCAATGCCTCGCACTTTTGTCAGTTTAGGACTCTATAGGAGGATACCGTTGCCAATAGTTCAATCTTTCACAATCTGCTGTTCTCCAAATGCGTGGGACTACAATGCTTATCTTCCCCATCCAATCACTGGATGATGGACCTCGTCGTTCATTTAACATCTTCACCAAAGGCACCAAACACTGAGGAAAACCGGTTTGTTCATTCATATGTCTGCGTGTCTTGCGTGTAGCAGGAGTGTGAGAATCCTTTACAGGGAAGCCTCACCTCCCACCTCTGAATAAAACAAGCCAGTACAATGTTTGAAAAGGTTCACAGAGCTTTTGTTGGCCCTACTATGTTAGACAAAGAGTATGATACAAACATCTCCCTTTCCCTCTCATAATCAGATACCGTTTTTGTTGATTATGTTTTAAGCTATTGTACATTACCTTGACGAGAGCCAGTTTGGTGTAGGGGTTAAGGCCCCAGGCTCGAAACCAGGAGAGGGTGAGTTCTAGTCCTGCCCTGGACACAAAGCCAGCTGGGTGACCTTGGGCCAGTCACTCTCGCTTGGCCCTAGGAAGCAGGCAATGGCAAGCCACTTCTGAAAAACCTTGCCAAGAAAATTGCAGGGACTTGTCCAGGTAGTCGCCAGGAGTCAACACTGACATAAAGCCACAGAAAAAACATTATCTTGATATCTCAGAATCACTGATATATGAGGGGAGAGGGGTCTAAAGTTATTTAAATGCTCCCACTATGTCTTCATTGTAGATCTCTTTCCTAAAGGTGGTTTTCCTTGTAGGAGATTAAAAACAACCTCCTTATTGTTAACAACATGAGATGGAACATGCAATTCCACCTTGACCTATTCTTCATGCATAGTCCCCTCTCCATGAAAATCCTGATTCCTCAGGACATATAAATAGATAGATTCTAAGTTTCTTTAGGAACACCCAATTTCCATGGCCAGAAAACGTAAACCAGAATGGGCTTAAACTTCATTAAACTAAACTTAATGGAGCACTGTGGATGAAAAATTGACAACTGGATAAATATTCATTGACTGTGGCCCAGAAGATTTTTTAGAAAAACAAAAACCTCATTTAAAGGAAGTCTGTCATCCTTTGCCAACAAATACTAATTCTCTAATCGCCATCACCAGGATTTTTATTTCTAATGAATATGTCTTAATGATCTTAGGTCTTAGATTTTCTTTGTGTCATCAGACTTACATATTAGTAGATGCATTTTACCTGTTACATTATACAAAACACACCGAGTCATTTGCAGGTTCAGATAACTAGTTGACCATATCAAGGTGTCCACAATAAATACATAAATAAATCAACTCAATATTCTATTACAATTCCAGATGAGATTACTTTTTACCTTTAAAATCTGATCATTACCTGTCTGTTTCCCACTTAACCTCTTTCCTATGTCCATTACGATCAGCAAAAAATCAATGTCATCTTCCTGATTCCTTATTTAGAACATCTATGGCAAAACAGCTTAGATATTTAACCTCTCCTGGCCTCTGAGAGCAAAGATAATTTTATCATCTTTGCTTTGAATAGAGACATTGGGGTCTATAGGTTAATAACTTAAGGGACAGCATCTTCCCATTGTTCAAGCTAGTTACATCAAAGGAAGAAAAACTGTGAATGTGTGGTCAGGAATGGGAAAGAAAGAAATGGCTTTTCTTTAGCAAACTGCAGTATAGATTTAACCAGCATTCCAACTTAACTATTTAAGCCTAGGTTTCTCATATTTCAGAATGCTATGAGTTATTTGGATATTATCAATCTTAGCTGTCATTTACATAATACCTCCTTCTCCAACCTGGGGTTGATATACAGAATTCTGGAAGCCACACTGTTGGAGAAGGTAAGCTTCATATATTTCTCCTCCATATTAGTAATCCCAACTTTCCTGGGATTACTAATATGGATGGTATGACAGTGGCTAGTGCAGACTTCCATGGTGGCACATTTCCCTGTCTGTTGCTGTCACAGAAAGATCTGTTCATTATCCAGGCCTTATGCTTAAATTGCTTGGGTAATACCAGAGCTGGTATGAAATCATACCTTGTGAGAATTCTTTGTGTAATGTGTTTGAACCAAAAGGGAGGAATGTAACCCTCAAGATATGGCAAGCATCTGTACACCATCTATATATCAGCAAAAAAACATGGCTTGGTTTGGAAAATAATGTCCTTAAGTAAGGTCCTGCAGCTGGTCCTTAGCATCTCTGTTCTCCCCGAGCAGCAAGGCAGAATGCATCCCTGAAATTCACTTTGCTCTTGTTCATATTTCCTCCATCCATTTCTCTTCCAGATCTCTATTTTACTCTCCTTCTACAACATCATGCCTTGATAAATACCATTAAAAAAAATTATTTTAATACCAGGAGAGCCAGTCTGGTGTAATGGTTAAGGTGCTAGGCTAGAAACTGGGAAGTGGTGAGTTCTACTCCTTCCTTAGGCATGAAGCTGGCTGGGTGACTCTGGGCCAGTTGTACTCTCTCAGCCCAACCCCTCTCACAGGGCTGTTATTGTGGGGAAAATAGAAGCATTATATACACTGCCTTGATTTGTAGAAAATAAAGGTGGGATATCAACCTAATAATAAAAATTTCAGAAATATTATAAAAGCTTAAATTTGTTGTTTGGGTTTGAAAATGTTGCAAACTGAGCATATTACACATTGAATGGACATAGGTGTATGGATTCATGGGTAGGCTGGATTTTAAATCTCCCCCGAAAAGAGGGGACAACAATTATTTGTTTCTTCTTTCCACCCAGCAAGATTTGGGAGAGTTCCTAGTACAACTGACCCCCTATTGTGTATCAGTGTATCAGGGAAGATCCTGTTGATATGTGTGTCTATACTCCAACATTCCACAACTTGGAGAAACCATGCCTTATATAACAGGTCAATTCTCCCTCTCCTCCTCCTCCTTTCAAAACTCTTTTAAATTTTTTTTGAATTTGATATTTTCTTAATAATGATTTCTCATAAATGCAAATGCTCTAGTTGGCCTAACAAATTTATTTCCTGGATATGGATTTTGCATTATGTTCCCATTTCATCAGTTCAGTTGCTTTGGCTATTTCTTTGGTTCACATTTGTATATGATAAATGCAGGTTAGATATTCCTTCATCTGTTTAACTAGAACCCTCTTTTTTGTTCATCTCAGCACCATTTATCTTTTATTGTAGACAAAGTGCTTGGACACCACCATATCTCTCTCTACCAAGCAAAGCCTCTGGTGCTTATAACTTTGGAAAAAACTGCTGTGGGAAGATCACAGGCAGGCACGCTATTCGACACACTGTCTGTGCTGTTGAGCTCTGGGGTGTATTTGACTGTTCTAAGTTTTTTTTTTTAAGCTCCCTACTTTTCCTTGTTGTTCAAACCAGCTTCTCAAGAAAGGGTGGGTGGCAGGGAATGACAAACCCAGCAAAATATTAATATGATTGTGGGTATAAAAGATAGTCTTGAATATCAGCCTGTGGTTATTTATATATCTCTCTGATATGCTTCCCAGCAGTTTAACTGTTTGCAAGTTCTAATTGCTCAGTCTCCATCTAGTGTTGCTGAAGATATCCGATTATCCTTTTCATATGACAGCCTTCCAGGGAAGAACCACAATTACCACCTTCTTCCTGTGGGTGGCATCAACATATTTTTAGCATCCAAAGGTATATTCAGAAAAAAAGAAGACGACGACGACAATGCAAATAGACAGAAAAATGTGTGAGAAAGTGGGGACCAGAACAAGAAAAAACAATGAAATTACATTTGGGAGAAGAAGGTTTCCATCTTTGAGCGTATTTTCCAGTGGAAGTTTTTGAAAAATTAATCCTTTAAATTACTACCGGTATTCTAAAAATTCAGAACCAGGACACTGCCAGCATTATAACGATCTTTTAGCATGTGTGATGCAGGTTTTTGCAAGCTTGGGAATACAAAATGTGATAGAGAATTTTTAGGTTTCCAAAAAGAGTCCAGCGCTCTAACCCACACATACGCAAAACCATACATTTATAAAGAATTATTTTTTTGAACATTCTTGCTTAGCAACTATTTATTAATAACCACGTATACTATACTGAGACAAATTACTGAAGATAAAGAGAAAAGAAAATATATTTCCCTTAAGGGAAAGTGCTGTACCAAACTATACATTGGTTTGTATTTCCTAATATATATTAAAAAGTCTAATTTTTCAACCTTTTTGTGCTTAGCAGGGAACGGTTATGTTCTGTTGAAGGTTAGAGGATAGACAGCTGAATTCTATAGTTTTAAAAATAGAGAAACAGTCATTGTATGTTTGCTTTTTTGTCTTGGCACCCAAGACAGAACAGAACAGAACAGTCTCAGGTCTAGATTGTTCCATGTTCTGTTTGAATTTTGCCATAGAGAATTTCAACGTACTTCAATGACAACCTTAAAATAAGAAGCAGCCTTTTTTCCTTTTTCTCACTCCCAAATCTGCTGTTACTCTATCCGACTGAAAGAATTTGAGGTCTTGAAAAACTTGCAAAATCTTTGGAGCCAGCAAAGGTGTGGCCTGAGGACAGATCTGG